GCACTGAAAGCCAACTGCAACGCAGTGTGTTCATCCAACATCGTCATATTCAGTTTCTTCAGTTCCTCTAGATTTGTTTTCAACATTTGCACCTCCGCACGTAATGAGTTATTCGCAGATTGTTGCTCTGTCAAACTAATAAGGATTTGAAAAAATAAGAAAAAATATAATTGTTTTAAGCAGGCAAGTTAAACACTCACGTCTGTTCCTTTTCGGAAATGATTTTGTTTTGTTTGTCAACTTTAACATTTAAATCGACAATTAATTGCGAGTTTTCCCCTTTCCTTTTGTGCAGCTCGGTTAATTCTTCCTGTTGCGCCAGCAGCTTCTTTTCCAGTGCACTAATGGCGAGCTGTGCACCTGTGGTATCTTTGCCGCCACCTGTTGAGAGCGCCGTACGCAGTTGCTCATTCTCAACAGATAACTTTAAATTATCCGCTTTTAATTGTGTTACATTGTCCAGCAGCTTGTTATCTAAAGAATGCATTTATTAATTACAATTATTTCGGTATATTAAAAATAGAGTAAAACACCGCAACAGCTCCAATGTTTTGTATACGCGCAGCAACGACCTTGAAGCTGCTGTCAACGGTGCTGCGCCACACTTACTTTGACCTATGATGTCTTGAAAGTTTAGTTTCTGTCTGCGGTCCCTCTCCTGCAGGCGTGCTATAAGAACTTTGCGCCATTCTGGTTCCTCTCCAGCCATTGTGCAATGTGCAGGCGTGGCCGCAGTAATCCACAACCGTCAACAAAACTGTTTTGCTTTCTCGAATCTTTCGTCACAACGTCGTTGCTTTCACTTCCCCCGCAAATTATTTCCCACTGCCAAACGTGTATATTTTAATGATTTGTGTATTTCTCATAATAAAAGGCTTTCTCAGGCAACTTAAATATGGTTTTATTATGATTATAAAAGCTAATAACAATCCGTTGACTTACAAGCGACACAAAAACACGATCTATTGTTTTGACTTTTTGTCAGTCACTCAAAACAATTCCAACAACTACAAATGTCAAAGGAATGCTCTCATGATTTGTTCGCAAAGTCTGCCAGAGAGAAAAATAAAAACAGCTGACAGATGGTAAAGTGCCATCTGCCTGTGAAGCTTGTACTCTACACAAAAAATATATGAAAATAATTTAGTTATTAGAAATAATTTGAAATGAATAAATATTATATGTTATGGTTATAATGAATAAGTGAAATAATGTAGAAAAAAGTAACTTATTTAACAAGTGACTGGAAACAAAGTTTCTTATACATATGCGCTGATCTATACAAGCAAATCGTAATGTTTGTCTCCGGAATGATGCTATTTTGATGTAAACTTTATAAAAATTGTGTATTTTAATTTTGTTATTACACTTAACTTTAAACAAAGACGTCACCTTTTTAAGTATTTTGTTTATCTTTCTTTTTGCTTCTCATGCGAAGGGTTAAGTTTGCATGAAAATATAAATAAAAGATGAGACTCTTCGACGTTCTTAAAATGTCACTTCAACCGGAAATATTTTTAAAATGTATGTTTACATTAATTAAATAAATATTTTGAAATGCCTTTCATTATGGAAGTGTTATTGCGAAATAAGTGTGTTGATTTAATAGTTTTGTTTTGTAATTTTCAATAATTCTATTTTATGTATTCTAAAACCAAAAAGAAGTGATTATATTTGATTGGAGCAGTGTTTCTTAAAAATGCTATTAAAATTAATTCTCAACACATCTAAAAAACTTAAATTCAGTATTATTACTTCTATTCAACCCTAACTCTCCGTTGACAATATAATCTACAGATAATGCACTGCAAAAACGCTAGCGGAAAACTCGCCACTGTTTAGTTTACTAAACTAAAATGTGGGAAGAGGCCATCTTAACCTGCGTTACCATCTCAACAAGATGGATGGATTCACAATAACGAAATATCGTCTTTTTTCCAGAAATTACATAGAGCTTCTAATAATATTATTTTTGTCTTTTCGGATTGAAATTGAACCAGAAAATGAATTACTGATATCTATTACTTATATTAGAAACTTTTCAAAAAGAGAGATTGTAGCCATCATTTGAAGAATGAATGTCTTCTATTCGTTTAGAGTGAGTTCACATAAGATATACAATGATCGCAGTGCTCCTATTCTGTTCGGTTTCATATGTAATGGAAGGATGGAAGGATGGAGTAATTCAATTTTAATCAGAGGAAAGTACAACAGATTTGAACTCAGGTGCTACTATTTTTTTACTATTTTTACTATTTTTTTACAATTCATTTAGTAAATGTTATACATGCATTTATATAGACTTTATTTCGTCATGACGGCAAACTATATCTGTATATAGCTTTTACTATATTTTTTTTTTAACAAAGTGGAAATAAGATTATATTAAGTTCTTTGAAAAAAAATTCTAAAATTCTGGACTTTCGTTCTTTATAACATAACTAAAAATCTTTCTACATAATTTTCTTCTATTTAAGAATAAGTAAGTTACAGAAGGATGACAGAAATATTTATTGCTATGTTATCGTCCGCCGCTTTCGCTAGAAAGTGCCTAGCTTCCATAAGCTTTTAGTTCCTCCAAACTCTATTCGACATTGGCCTTCGAATTAGTTTGCCGAAACTCCGCTCAAGTGAGTCTCTATATGCATTCCACTAGACATGGACATATATGCGTTCCTTCTCGACGTAATAGTTATTAATTAACTTAAGTTTGTCACAATATAGCCTCACATTACTTTACTTTTTGAGGTTTTTACTTTTTCTAGAAACTGAGGCATATTCACCATAAGTCATTATGCATTTTAACTATCGATTTTCTGCACATCTTCTACACCATGTATTTATTTTCCTCGTGGTTTTTTCCTTCTTCTAACCTCTCTTAAGTTACTTTTTGATTTGATCGTATGATCTTTGTTTCTGCTTTTGTGTACTCAGAGAAAGCCATTCTAGTCTTACCATTATTTACACATAATTAACACAAAATCCATATAAAAATATGTTCATGTTGGGTATGTAGACAAAGCCCCAAAATGAACCGATGTGGTTTATTAAAACACATATAACACAATTAATCAATTACATTATTATTTTATTTTAATTTTTCAAATAAACCAGCACCAATCTTTGAATTGTATGCATATATCTATTTAAAGCTATGTTTGTATGCTATTTTTCATACAAAATCCATACAAAATTCATATTAAAAATGCTGAAGAGGTTTGAAAAGTCTAAGTGAAAATTTAGTACAAAAATGTATTTTTATATATTTTTTTGATTTTTAACCTGTAAGCCCACACCTGAAGCAAATGTAAGACTACAGACTTGGTTACTGTATTTGATAATTATTAGAGTAAATATGTATATTTCAAGATAAGATTTGTGCTCATAATAAATCTCATTCCAACCGAAGCAGTTCCTCCACACAATGATTTGGATCTGCTGTCAGTTTGCTCAATGCTCACATTCTTTTCAATCAAAAACTTATTAACAGATCTGTTTGTTTTGATGACGACACCAAATCTAAAAATAATATTTTACAAAATTTTTCTATTTTGTTGCTGTTGTTGTTGTAGTTGTTGTTGTTGTCGAAATTTCAGAAACGAGCGTCTCAATTAATTTGTGAATCACCGCAGCGCAACCGACGCCACGTTTGGCGTGAAGCAAATTTTTCGCTATTAGCAAGATTTTCCGACAGTTAGACGTGCTAGAATCGGAATAGTTTCCGGACTTATAAGGCGAAGTGACTTTGATCAGTCACTTTGAGAATTTGTTAAGACGTGCTTAAGCCGCGAGGCTAGCTTAGAAGCTTGCAACGAGCGTAGGAGTGGGAGTGGAGATTTGCTGTTGTAAGTTTTTAAAATGGAAGCAAACCGATAGCAAAAAACAATATAATTTTTAAATAATAAAAAATATTGCGAACAAAAAAGCTGTTCAGCAACTTTTGAAACAAATTTTAGAAAAATATTTCAGAATAGCAGCGAAATCGAAATACTTCAGTCGAGTTTCGAATTCCAAGCTGAGCGGTCAGAAATATTAAAGATTGAATTGAAAAAATTTTGAAAAAATCCAGAATGCCACTTAAGAAAAAGGACGAGTATATTCCAATCAAATGCGAGGGTTGGGACGGTAAATTTCTTTATGCGCCGGGCACTACGAATAACGTCTCAAAAGTGCGTCGCTATAATCAAAATGTGACGGACACCTCAAATTTCTACGGTTTCAACACGGAGCCCACCATCTTGCCAACCACTTGGGATGGTACCTTCGTGAAGAGTGGCGAAACACGTTTGAAACAGGAACGCAATCGCTCCGATGATTCCGAATACTTCCAGTACAACACCGATCCAACAGTATTGCCCACAACCTGGAACGGCGAATTTGTCCTGGATCCAAATGATGTACGCATTAAGCCAGAAAGAAATTTCTCCGATGTGCGAGATTATGCTGAAGCAAGCCGTTTCAGACAAGTGAAATGATGGAAGAGTATCAAGTGAAAAAGGTTTATTGAGGACGAAGGGACGCAAAGAGTTCCACTTTATTATTTTGATTTTTTTTTCCAGTAGAAAATTGGTATTTTTTACTTCACTGAGTATTGCGTTCGTTTTTTTACTAACCACAAAAAGTGATAAAAGATTGTAAACCTTGCAGACTATAGAATAAGTTTACCGGCTTAAGTAGTGTAATTTAAAGAAAACAAAACGAAACAAATAAATAAATGGTTATAAACAAAAATAAATACAATTAATTTAAATATGAAAATATATTAAAATAAATTAATAAATCACAAAAATTGCAAAAAAAAATTTCTTTATATAAAAATAATTATAATAAAAATGTTTTTCTGATTGCCGTATAAAAAATGTGAAAAAAATAAATTTTTCTTATAAAAAATTTAGTTATACAAATTTAAATATATAAATATATATATATATATATATATAAATATAAACTAACGTCGTCATTACTAATTTTTTTTGTTCCACAAAACATAAAACCGCTTTAAGCAAAAAAAAACAAGTTTCCTCATCTCTAAGCACTTTTTTGTTTATTAACTTTTAGTTTTGGTAAATATTTAAAAATAGAAATTGTTTAATTATTTAATAAAAATGAGTTTTAAACAATAAATTTTAATTTTAGCAACTAAATTGCTTTTTAATTTTAATTTTTTAACAAATTTTGTTGGAGACGCCTAAAGTTTGAGAACCGAAAACTTCGTGTGTCTACTAGATTATCAGCTGAGGGTACCGGGTAGACTGGGGGTGGGGTGTGTCTAATGACTTATCACTCAGTTGTTATCAGTCTTTACAGTCTACCTCTGTGTAAACACAGATAAAATATATTTAAATTTTTTGTGAAAATCGTCCGAATTGTGGTAGTCCACATAGGCTTCAACATCATCGAGATATGCAGAATACAGAATAGAGCGTTCTTATTTATTTAAAAAACACATACTTAGAATGTTTCTTTCTTGTTTATATGAACAGTGATGGACTAAATATGCAAACATAGCGAGAAACTACTGTTTCTTCAAGAAACAGTCTTTAAAATTACTATTTATAGTGAAGAAGAAGTAAAGTATTTTTAATATGTAATTGGTTGTTAATCAAGGTTTTTCTTAATAAAATGGATTATAATAATTAATTTGGGGTCTGCAGAAAGTGGAAAGTGAGCTGCACTGACCCTCCTCCTTACTAAGCATTAGCATATATTTATATACATATAACATGAAAATAAAAACAAATTATTATGTACATAAATTTATGTAATTATTAAAAAATAATTCATTAATTGCTAAATATACTTCATAATACCTTTTATTCCTAATGAATCTCTAGAATTGTTTTCCCAATGAATAAGTTACATTTCCATGATTTTATATGGTAATATTAATAAACTAATAAATTAAACTAAATTCTTAACAAAAACTATTGTTCTCAATAGAGAGGTTTTTATCCAACAGTAGTAAATTGCAACAACAACAATTTTTTTTTATTATTATGTTGAAGCTGTTTTGAGCCAGTGGACTTAAGCACTTTTACTCGAGGTAAACACTTACTTATAACTCGAGGTACTGACTAGTTTATTGTTTATCACTTCATCAGACTAAGCAATAATTAACCTCAGATCTGCATACCTTCCCGAGGAGCCTGTCACCATTTTGAGATTTGATAACGCGGTGTTGGTAAGTCTGTCAGTTTTCGCAAATAATTTCAGGGCTCTGTCCTTTATGTATTTGTTGATGGGATCAATCTTGAGGTCCCTGAGGTTGTCATTTTTTATTATTTTCTATTAATTGGCTGACCAAATGGTATATATCGATATTATATACCATGTATTAACTTTTTTTAAGACAGCTATGTTATTTCTTTTTTCTGTCCTAAGCTCTTAATAAATGTGGTTTTGTATTAGAGTCTCATAAGCACATCCTTTTTTCTTTAGCAAAGAGGAAAAGCATCGGAAGCCTAAGCCTGGTAGTGACTTAAACACTTGAAAAGAAGACTTTTCCGTCCGAACGAACAGATACACCCGGAAACATTGTTAAATATTTCGTCGAAAAAGAATATTTGATACATGCATATTATTCTTTATAGTACAATTCAGCGCGATATACTCATCGTTTTTCTTTTAGTCTTTAAGCGAAAGTTACAATTGTTTAGTTCATTGAGTAAATGGTCTTCCTCATCAGTGGACTTTCTCTTTCAAAACCAGTTGTTCCAAGGCAGTTTATCATTTCACTACATTGTCGTAGTTAATTGGATATTTATTAGTAATTACCTTTATTATTTTAATTTTTTATTTAATAACTTAAGCACGGAAATGTAATCTAAGCTGTCTATTAAATTCTCAATATTTTTCGATGTGACTACAATTCAAAAACTTCAATCTCCTGTTTGTCTCATAGTTGGGTACCTATAGCTAAAACCAAAGCATTTCGACCAGTAAATGTTTGATTTGGTAAAGGATCTATCTAATAGCGTGATAGAAGAAGAAGAGCAGAAGAAGGCCAACTGTCTCCAAAATAATCATATTCTATATATAGTATTGATATATTTTTTTGTAGCATCAGTTATGTCTGCAATATCTACTTTTTCAACTATATGGAAAGCATTAAAAGATATAGTGTCAGTCTGCAATCAACTCTCAGGAATGATGTCATAATAGATTTCATACATTAGATCTGAAGAATCTTGAGCTCAAGCCTATTCGAGTAAGCAGAGGATGAAAAACTAGAGAAGAGTATACTATAGAAGAGTATACGTAAATTTAAGTAAGCCGGTGGGTAAGAAGCTATTACATGTAAGCATGTTAGTTGAATATATACTATACTAATATATATATATACATAAGTGTACAATTTCTTTTGAATCAAATTACAGTGGCATCGTTTGATATCTGATATAAACCGAGTGGGTAAACAGGATGCGAAATAAAAAGACGCGCAGTACGTTCAAAAAATATTGTAAATTTTATATGGTATATACTATATACATACATTTAATACTATTAAAAAAAATATGTTATTAAAAATATGATAATGTATTTAAATATTTATATTCATTATGTTTTTATTGCACTTCCCTTTCCCAATCAGAGCTAAATTATCATATGATTTTGGCTCATTGTTGGGATCTACTTTCTACCAGCGCAGAGTCAACTACGTCCTACGACGTTGTCATTTATGGCTCATACAGTTAAATATTGTTTTTATTTTCTATTATATAAATTCAATTAAATTTAATTTTAAATTAAAGTAAAAATGTGTGGGATTTGTTATTAGTCGAACGTCACAATCGCTGCATAATATTTGCTTCCATTTAAGGCCGTCAATTATGGCAACTCTGCTTCGAAGCCGCAGAGTGGAAGGAAATCACAAAAAAAAAAAAATAAATTATAAATCTAGTTAATTAAAGCAAATTGTTTTGATTTTGTTTTCTATATTCAATTAAATGTTTTGAAATTTAATTATACTGTACTTGGAAGAAAATGAACTTGATATAAAGAGTTAATTAGATCAAAGCCTTCAGCTAAGCAATTATATAGTCAATATTTTCGACGACTAGAACCACTCTTTTTTTATTTATTTAAATTTTTAATATTTTAATATCAATTTATTGCCATAAATAAGTAATTCCAATACAGGTGTTTGGTTATTAGTTTATTATAATTTTTTTCCATAGTCTTAGGTTAGATTAGGTTAGATCAAGTAGGAGTGCCAGCCTTGTGCACCAAAGCTCTCTTAAGCATTTGAGCTAGTTAAGATATCATGGTTGAGACAGAGTCTGTATGCGAGACCCTAGGGATCACTTTAAAAGTAGTAGTCTCAAATATATATGGTAGTGGATGATCGACGTCCCTTTGGAAAGAGTTCGCTTCCTGACTGTACTCGAAGGGAGTACAGTTTCCTTATCATCCGCAGAGCCACAACCCTGACAAATGTCGTTAGAGGGTAAGCCAAGTCTTATTACATATTTTCCGAATCAGCTGTAATCTGTCACCTTCGATATCGTATTATGAGTTGAGCACCTTCGTTGAAGAAGCTGACTGGTACTGACGACACTGCCAAATTTGTACTTTAGTTTGGAGACGTCAGTATAAATTTCAACAACGTTAACATAGATATCTGTCTAATAACCTATTTAATTTAAGCAAAAATTAAATTTTTAACTTTGTCATTGCATTCTTCTTTCCGAGCAATGGAGCCTTTTGTGGACCAATGCTTCCAAAGTCAAAGTGTTTCATTTTTCATGATTTGAGGTACGCCTTTTACTCGACTTATCTCAGTGCTCATGCTTTGCCACTTGCATGTGATGCATTTCGTATATAAGTATGCTCAGGCAAAAGCCAAAAATTTACTTCGGAAGGAGATTTCCGACAATTTCCGGAATTCAAAAAACAATGCTTTCTTAACCCTTCTAGGCTTTCCCTAATACGTTAGAGGGGAAATATATTTGAATTCTGTCTCCTATTAAATGACTTCTCTTTATTTTCCAAAGTACTTTTCATTCATATAGCAAAAGGTATATGTAGGTGGTCAGTTGATAGAACAAATAAAACTTCTTAATATATATTTCAAAAGAAGACATATGTCTTCATGACTGAATGTATTAACATCGCCAACTTAAATAAATGGTGTGGTTGTGGTTGTGGTGCTTAAAATCGCAAATTATTATAGTACCAAATATTGTATAATTAATTTGATAATAAAATGACAAGTGACAAAGTATGATAGATCCAGATATCACTCATTCTAAATTCCACTAAAAGGTCTTTCGCGATTTTATTTTTTATTTGAAAACTTGTTATTTATATACATTTATATATGCTATAAACTCTTTTAGTATGAACTGACAGTTCCAATGAACTCTCGATATCACAATTATCTACTGCTGTTAAGGTTGCGGTTATTAAAGTTACGTATTCTCAACAAAAGTTGTTCTTCTGATAATAATTCGATAAGACAATAAAAAACACAGTTCCAATTAATTTAAACTTTTTAACAATGAATGAATAAATGACGATTTGTTTACTTTAACAATACAATAAAATAACAAAAAAAAGTATTATAAATAAACAGTTATGTTAATAAATGACTAGAAATTGAATTAAATGGCATAACCCAATGTCACGATATGGAGGATATATCTAATAAATGGCCGTTATTACTATTCTTAAATTCAAGATGCAATGTGACATCTTGACAGCTTGCGAGCTCGTCCACAAGTTGGGCATATATCCCCAATAATACCACGGCGGTCCACGTGAAAGACCTTTAGCCCTTAGCTTTACGTATAGTGATTAGTTAGTGATTGTGTGTGCAAAAGTCTTTACAAAATCTAGCCAGTGTTACCAAACCCTGTATCGTAACTATTTACCTAACACCTTATATATTATATTTATCTCTTTTCACTTTTCACTTCTCAATATCCATAAATCTATCAATAGACATATTAATGATAACCTTGCTGTTTTTTATCTCTACCATGTCTCTAATTTACTGGTATTAGTTGCAATCTATCATTTCATTGCCATGTACCAAGATGATTTATGGTGAACTTGATACCGTAAAGACTAATTAAACCATCCAAACGACGTTGGAGGATCAATTAAAATATGTACCTATTTCTTCGTTTCATAAAAAGGTGACATATGTAGATATATTACTATTTGCATTCTGAGCCCGTACCTGAACATAGTAGTTAGTCACTTTCAATTGTATATATCTTCTCATTAGCTGTGCAATTAATGATACGATTATTAAATATGAGATTATCACTGAGAAACATAATTATTTCGGCTCACTTTATTATACCATACCACATATAATCCGATTGTTAAACTCGGTCGGAACTATCTTTTATGTTCAGTTCTCACTAAAAATTTTTATAGATCGCAGCGTGTGAGCAAAAAAAGCGACTTACGAAAATAAAAGATAAAAATTGTTAACAAATAAAAATACAATAAATTTACTTAAGCACTTAAGAGTAAAATTAAAATTAAGAAAAGTTCATTAAAGTCTTATCAGCACTTCCAGGAATATTCGAGACACGCAGAAACTCTCTAATAATTTGCAAAACTTTTCGCTCAAGAACCTCGATTCGGTCGCTGCCATAAATCAGTTGTGCTGTGCTGCAGGTAGATCGGGGGGCTTAAGTATAGAACTTAATTAAAATTAAGCAAATTTGCAAATTAACAACAAAACATTATCAATGCAGAAACAGAAGGCAAAGGGGACTTTTTCATTTGGTTAAAAAATATTTACACAAATGATAAAAGCACAGAAATATTCGGGTGTATATAAGAACAGAACTGGAGACAATAGTATTAGTATCAGCGAAGAAAATGTTCAGATTGGGAAGTACTTTTTTTATACTGCAAGCAATTTTGATTGCAGCAAGCGTAAGTTAATAGGAAATCTGCTTATTATTTTGTAAAATATATTATCACAGGATAAATTCGTACAGGCACAGGATATAGCAGTGCGACATTCATTCGAATTTGATGAGTTATTAAACATCACAAGCAGAACAGATGATCTTATAAACATTAATAATCGCGTTTTAGCCAATCATATTGCAACCGATAAAGATAAAATTGATGCTTTTAAATCTGGCTATGAAGAGCTCATTTGGTCAATTGGATTGGATGCACTCTTGTTGGAACTTAAATACCGCGAATTCGATAATTACGTGAGACCTTTACAAGTAATAAGCGACTTTACCAAGCACTGCGTTCAGAAATTTCTTTGGCAGCTTCCAAATCTAAACACCGTCAAAACTAATTTGAATTCCTGTGTCTCATCTGCTAGTAGTTACATCGGCACAATTATCTCCAATGCAGTTTCGACACAGAACACACTCATCAGCTACTACAATAGCAACTTCAAGACTTTGCTGGCGAACTGCAAGAAATTAGAAGCACAATCGCATTTAAATTACACCATCTGCCTTACGGAAGCCGTAAGTGAAACTTTTGAATACCTACATCTTCCCTATTTCTTCTCGATTTCTTTGCATTTCTTGCAATAAATAATGAAATACTTTTTTTTATAGATGGCCACTGCTCATAATTACTTCATGACTAATAGGAAAACTTTAGAAATCAGATTAGCGGAAGCGCAATGTGCTGCCCGCAATCGCATTCGTCAGGCTGTAGATTGTAGATTCCCCCATATTTACAGTACAATCGAAAAAATTGGCATCATCAAGCAGGGAATTGATGACTGTATAACATATAAAAGTGGTTTCACGACACCTACTTGCAGCAATTACGTTAAATTGGATCAATCTCCTGAATTCTTCCATAATTTCACCATATATAATCCATTCTACGGCTTCAGTAATACAACCAAATGTGTGCAAGTAGATTTCTTTGAACCTGAACGTGTGGAATTGTCCATAAAAGCATGAAAAAATTTAACTACGAAATAGAAGTAATTTTAGAAAAAAATTTGTATTAGAATTTATAGTTATAATAAATCTTAATATAAATACACACATACATACATATGTAGCATTTAAAGTTAGTATTTACAATAAAAAATAATGTTTTTAACATATACATATAATATATACCTATATTTCCCAATCTGTTCTATATAAAATTAAAAAACAAAATAGTAGGATGAGGATGTGATTGCAGTCCAAATAAAGACTTTAATTAAATGTTCAGTAATTATGTTCTAGAGGATCTAACTTTAGGTAGGACTGATTTTAGATAGGAGCTTTTTTGGTTTCGGCTTCTAATAATAAAAGTTATGGGGAAGCTGAAAATAGTAACTATACTACTTCCATTCTTCTCTTTGCATGACAGGCCGGAATGGTAAGTTATTTGTCGAAACTATGTTAATGGATCCATTATGCTTATTATCTCTAAACAAGATTGTAAGACTTTTCGTGAATATATTAACAGAAGAATGTTTCCTCATTTAAACGCTGATAAAAGATATATTCAACGTTTATAATTTACGTTTTGGTTCATCAATGGAATTTTATCATCTGGTCTGCAGAAGATTTTTGATATTCGTCGTACGATCCATTTTTAACATATATATTCCTAACCACAAATCCGGAGATCGGTGATATATTTATTATTTAGTTTTATTTAATTTATCTAATTAATTTAAACAATCACCAATCATCAGAATTCTTATCCAAGAACAGAAAACATTTCTAGCCTCCCTCAAACAAGTTGACTATTTCAAATTGTTGATAAAAAAAACTCTTCTTATATATGAATATGTATCATAGCACATTAGGACGAATGACATCCTCAGGGACCTTAAAATTTATCTGATCAAAAAATACATAAAGGATAGATCGAATCTCAGAATGGTTACAACCTCCTCGGGGAGGTATGCAGATCTGAGGTCAATTATTGTTTAGTCTGATGAAGTGATAAACAATAGTCCAGTCAAGGCGCAAAGAGGGGTTTATGAAGAAACCTCGCAGTGAATAAAGAGTAAAAGTGCTCAGGTGCACTGATTCAACTAGCTTCAACATAATAATAAATTATGAATCTGTTAATAACAAAAATTGGTGGGCTAATGCGATGAACATTATAAAAAAAAAAAAAAACATTTCTGGAGTTTATATGAATAGATTGGAATATTTAAAAGGAGGAATATAATCTGTTTGCAGTTATTTAAGCTTATTAGTGTGAAGATTTATTCTAAGGAATGCATTCATGTGTGATATAATCCTTTGCACTGGAACCACTTGATTGTTTAAGGTTTCTATGACGGTTTAATTTGAAATCCGTTGTCTGTAGTAACAAAAATGCAGATATGGTTAAGGCGAACCACAGTAACATTAAATCTGATAATAAGTCTGATAAGCTTTATACAAACAGTGACATACAATCAGCTAGTATAAAACAATATAGCCGATAAGGATAATAACCTCGTAATTTATATAGAAATAGTTTGAAAACAAACAGCGTAGCTGCGCATAGTTAAAGGCGAAAAACTGGTCACGTGTGAACTGTAGTATTACGGAACACATAAACACTTTTTGATATATTTATATGGTCGACATGAGTTTTCAGATCAACTTAAACTACACATAATCTAGCGTTATCTTCTTTATAGTAGTAAACAATGTAGTCACAGAAGCAATATAAGCTATTAATAAGCCAGAAGACATATTAGCTGGACTTCTTACTTAACAAGTGCGTAATGGGCTGACTAATGGTGTGGCTAATGGGCTGGCTAATGAAATGGGTAATATACTGGATGATGGTTTAGAGTGATTTATGCCAAATCATATAATACAAAATAATTTCAAAAATGTACCTCTATATCTATTGATATCGGGAACATTTTTTAAACTATTTATATAAATAATATAATTAATTAATTATATTATTTTAAGCCAGCGTAAAGTTGCACAATGTCATATGTTTATTATGAAAATAGCATATAAACGGTATACATATAAGAGAGGTTAATATCAAAGAGAGCTTTATATCTTCCATCCAGTTCCAAGCCATAACATAAGATATACAAATTTCTTGATTTTGAGTGCTTTTTTTTCTAATAGTTTTATACAATAAAGTAACCTTTAAATTTTTATGTCCAAAAGTAAGTTAAGAAGCATGCGGATTTTAATACAACACAGGAGGAAGTTTTAACACCCTGTTTTAAAACGTTCTTTTTTCTTGTTGAGAAAGGTAATGAAGACAATTTTTCGAAGAAGAAGAAAAATTCTTGATAATTGTAAAACGGTATAAATGGAACACTATTTATTCTCGTAGTGGTGACATCAACCAATCAATAATCTACAACGCAAGCGCATAAAAGTATACTATACTTATTCACATCTCACAATGTAGAATAACAACAGCGCAATAAAAATTAATTAGACAATATCAAAAACATAGAAAAAATATTTAATGATTTTGAAGTTTTTTGACAAGAATACAAAAAGTAGGGCAATAATTTCAAAAGATTGTTCTTTCTGCTTTAGAGAAGAAGGGGGGAATAATAGAATAAAACTCAAAATACTAAACATGTACAATAAATCAAAAATGTGGGTCTTGAATTTGTTTAAATAATTCTTGCACAGAAACTTGTAATTAAAGCTATAGTCACGGAACTTGCTTTTAAGACTCCGACCAATCGATAGTTAGAAGTCAATAGATCGGTCCTAGAAGTGGTAGGTAGGTAGGTAGTAAAATATCTACTACAATGTGCAAGTGCCGTTTGTCCCTTGTGTTGCGATTGTATCGTTAATAATGAGTGACTGAGACTCTGGAATGATATTGGCTGCAGCTGCAGTAATATATTGAAAAAAACACTAAATTACAGTTGACAAGATAAATAAATAACGCTGGAAAATAAATATTTTTCACAATTGAATTTCTGTAAAACTCAGACAGTGCCGTTTAAATTGACGATGCCATAAGATGCTATAAAAAGTATGCTATAAAAATCGGGCGCATTATCTAGTATAAAAAATGTCGCCTGCCTTAGCTTTCCGCTGCGCTTCCCCGATTTAAAGGAAATGGGAGTAGATAACATTGTTGTTGCTAATTTGGTTCCGCGTAGTTTTCTTCGCAAACCCATTGATAAGAAAATCTGCTCACTTTAGATCGCTTATCAGCTTATCAGGGTATCAGGGTATCGCGGTATCAGGTTATCAGCTTGTTGAAAACTAATTAGTGCTAATTATTCAGAATTTCGGCCTTTCGTTTTTAAGATTAAAAATATAATTTAAAAAGTTTTTAATTTGAAAATGAAAAAGCTGTGCAAATACCACGGGGTGTTCCCCTGTCTCAGAAGAGCAGAAGAATCACTTTTTACGAGAACAAAAGTTTTGTAAATAAACTTTTTTTAATGAATGAATGTGCGGCGAATGTATGAATCAAGGCAACTGGCGAGGTAATTAAGTGGAAAAGCAAATACATTTATGATTGGGTTTAATTGGCAGCTGAAGTGGTTTACTCTTGAGAGGAGGAAAAGGGGTTTTTTGCACAGATATTCTTCATTCTTCATGAACTGATATCAAAGTACTTCGTGTGGTATATAAGCCGCAGTGTTTGGATACAGATTTTATCATTTGAGTTTGGAAGTTAATAGTTGAAAGAAGATGGCAGAGCACAGTTGGATGAATTTGGCAAGAATTTTTCTCGTTTTGCAGGCAGCATTTGTGGTGGCAAATGTAAGGAATGAAAGAATTTTTTTTTTTGGAAGTAGTTCTTTATTCTTGTTTATTTACTTCCACAGACGCAAGCGGTAAGTGTACGTGTTGCAGGTGAATCTAATTTGACTACTACTACCCGTGCAGAGGACTATGTCATACAGAATCAACGCCAATATGCAGCGAATATATTGAGCTATGAATCTCAGCTTGCCGAGTTCAAGTTGAGCTACCAACAGCAATTGAATGCAATTGCAGTACAAACTACTCTAGTTGAAGATAAGCTGAGTGAGGTTGAGGAAAAGTTGAATCCTTTGGAATTGTTGGATGATCTCAGTAAACATTGCGTACAAAAATATCGCATTAAAATTGCGAAAATAGCTACAGTGAAAGCCTCATTGGCCAGTTGTGCTGCAACTGCTTCAAATGTGATGGCCAGTTTGGTTGCACCGGCAGAAACCACCATGAGAAACCTCATTAATTATTATGCTCAACTGAATACTAATCTGAATGCATGCAAACAAAAATTTGAGAATCTAGTAGTGAATTACACGCTTTGCGTTACGCCATTGGTAAGTGAAATTAGTAGCAGTAATTAAATGTGTAATGAGAAGAAATTATACATTTTCTGTTTTCTCTTCCCTTTCCCTTTAACAGATCAACACAGCTAATTCGGTTACCAAGACAAATCAGAAAACTTTTGCCACTCAAATTCAGGAACTAAAGTGCAGTGGTACGGGACGCATTACACAGTCTTTGGATTGTAGTTTTACCATTTTATATAACACAATTTCTGTAATCGGCGAAACCACACGTTTGATTGATAATTGTATCGCAGGCTTGGAATACTGTCCGCCTTGCCAATCAGCCCCAGTTGATTCATGTCCACATAGCATCGACTTAACCATAAGTGATTTGATCTACAGGAATGCGACTATTAAAAATCCCTTCTATGGGTTGAATTCTACCGTACCGTGCATAAAGATATACTTTGTGCCACCAGCTTAAAGACTGTGGGTTGCTACTTGGCTACAGCTTCGAGCAGAAGAGTCAGTAAAAGGGAAAACGTATCAAAGTTACAGTATTAATTAGATAATAATGATAATAAATAAAGATGTGCTTATATTTTGCAAGAAGTTAAGTAAATAAAAAATAATTCTAAAATTAGAAATATTGTCTTCATTAGTTAAACTTACTTTACAGTCCGTTCATTTACTTAAATAGTAAAATCAATTCACTTATATATTGCTGACGATCATAGTAGACTTATGATCTGTAGATAAAAGCATAAGTAAATTCTCTTCTTATAAAAGTAAAGATTTGGAGAGAATTTCAATAAACTTTTGAAGAGAATTGGTCAGTAACTTCTTCACTTAACTACTGAAGAGCAATCATAGAATATAATAGTATATATACATGACATGGTTCCTCTCAGTGTAGCAGAACGGTGATAGATCATGTTTCTAACAGACCCCAACTGAATATAAGACATTGTGTTCTTCGAATGAAAATCAGAATATAAGATGCTGAGCGCATGTTAACATCAGATGGAGTTGGGATTTCCTAGCGTAAAGATATAGTTCTGTTCCTGATCAAAGCCGGACAATTACACAGTATGCAACTAGATGGTTTATCCGCTTCCAAGTAGAGTCGAAAATCCATCTCTTTGGACAGACCCATTTTGAGTGTATGGGTAGACATTTCTTCTGGTGTTCTTATACTTGCACCCCGTATAATTCTTGAGGCAAGTGAAAGCAGATACAATGTAAAATCATTATTTTTTTATTACAGTTATTCTATGCTCTATTTTTGTTATACCTTCTCTTTATTACCATTATTCTCTATTATGATCCGTGAATCAATTTTATCCATAAGACTAAAATAATTTTAAAAACTTATTAAATTATTCCTATAATTAATTTTTTATTTCTATGAATTTTAATTTTTATTTAAGAATAAAACATACGTTCATAGCATGTTTTTATTATCAGCACTTAATTTTTTTTTCCATTATTTAATAACATTTTTTTTTTACTAATACAAAAATACGTATGACTGTTATCTTAATAGTACTAACATATCAACGACTAATTCCTACACTAAAGCACTTTTTCTGATAAAATTAATTTGTAGGCATGGTGTAGATTTGGTGACACCCTTGAAGGGATTTGTAATCTTCTCACTGGTCACGTCATCTTCACCCAAATGCCAGCCTATTTGATATGGGCAACGACCTTCCGTAGCGCTTAATTGATCACTGCACGACGGACAGAACTCATGTCCATTTATGCAATTCTCCACCAGCCCATTAATCCCACCAATCGCATCAAGAGTATTAAAGACTTGGATGCCATAGCAGTCGAAAGTTTCTTTAAGCTTCAGATTGGCACTGCACTCCGCTGAGCTCATTTGATTCATAAAAGTATTGGTGTTCGTGCTGGTTACAGCAGTCGTGGTCTTAACCTGTAAAGTAGACGAGGATTAAATTTAATGTTAATGAAAAGCGTCAATGTACTTTAAAGTACACCCACCACATTTGTAAAGCAGATTGTGTAGTTCGTCTCGGTTTCCTTCTTCTTCTTGCAATCCTTCAAACCATTCGCAAATTGATTTGCATAATAGTTTTTCAGATTCTGCAGCGTTGAGGCCGCGCCGGAAACCAGCGACGCATATGCCTGGTTAGCTTTGGCTATGTAATTGCCGAGATTCGTTTTGATTGTGGCCCAAACTGGTATTTTGCTGCGATACTTTTGTATGCAATAATCATTCACATCTTCCAGCAATTCCAGGGGATTAAGTTTGTTTTCAAGTTCGTTGAGTTTCGCCTGCAAAAAGTCACCATGCAAGGCAATTGTGTCCAGTCGTGAGTTATAGCTCTTCTTGAAATCCTCCAGCTTTTCATCTAGAGCCTTTGTATTTGCCGCCAATTGGCGTTGATGATGGATAACGAAAAAATCCACGCGGGAAGTCGTTGTGAGGTTGTAGTAGAAAGCATCTGGCAATGTGACAATGTTGTTGCTCTAATTAACAAATTAAATTCATTTAATTAACAATACCAAAGTAATTATTTTCATATAAATTTATTTACTATTGATTTGCACACAAAACAAGCGAAAATCATTAAGCTTATAATCTTGATGTGTGTGGCCATGATCGTTTTGATTTCTGTACTGAGACTCAGAATACTGACTTGGATTTTATTTCCTCTGTTTTATATGCGATTTATTATTTTTAAGTCTTGCTCGGGTTGCTGATAAGAACTGGGCCGGTACTTTTTTTCTGTAGGAATTTTTACATTGAATGTGATAATTTTCTGCTTTATAGCGTTCAGTTTTATTTTAGAGAATTGAGAATTTGACAATTGACAATTTAAGAGCAACCGACCTAAGTTTATTCGCAAGGTTTCAGATGAAATTCGCATTAATGCATCAGAACACACATTTTGAATGTATTTGCTTCTCTTTAAATTATGGCTAAGTTGTGTCTGTGTGGATAATGATTATGGGTGATTAATTATATTCATATTTTCTTCAGTGCTTCTCATTAAACTTGCGCAGTCTCCTTAAGGGTTCTTTGAACTTTTAAAATTAATTTCATTTATAATTGCTTTATTGCCAATTAAATCACTGCATATGAGCAATCCTATCACTATGCCATGTACTGGTATTTTTCAAGGTGATTCCCACATACTTCTTAGCTCCTGTCTCGTTCACATGCCGCTTAATTGTTAATAAATTGTTTCGTTTTAATTACTGAGTACATTTTTGACTTTCTCAGGTGGCAACGTTGGAAAAAATGCATGTAATTGAGCACTGAAATGGCTTGTTTGCACATGCATAAGCGACACAATCCAGACATCGACTCCCAAGTTTGCTGCTGTTTGTGGTAATCGACCCTTTGTATAGGAAGAGTGTAGGATGCGACACATTGCCACAATCTCTACAATAAAAAAAGATGTATTTCTCTTCCTCAGTTGATCCATAACAATAAGTGTGGCTGATTTAACCTCTGTAAGTAATAAAAGTTCTCATGGTGATATTTTGTTACTCTTTAAGCAAAATACTACATAGAACATTAAGCATAGCTTATATAAAGACGAATAACAATAAAGTGATTGGTGTCGACTTTATTAAATTGATTTTTTTTTATAAAAGTTGTTGATTTGAAGTACTACCTTACGAGTTTCCACCAAAATAATAAAACTTAAAAGTATATGAATCAATGATCTATTTTTATTTTCGTTGTAAAATTACTATTTATTAATGTGTTATGTAAAGAAAGTAATAAGTTTGTCTGCGAACGATACTTAGTCTCCAATGTATTTTAGGTTTATTCTTTCCTACTGTATTGTTACTTCGTAAAAAAAATTCAATTTGATTTACTTATAGTATAGGACTACGAACGATCAATGGTGTTTTTAGTCGGGTTACCTGCCATGAAGGCTTAAGATCGCAACGTACTTAACACACATATCGTACTTAACACACGTGTCAAGATAATGCACAGACAAATACTCCATTCCAAAGATTTTATCGGTAATAATTGAAGTCATGTGTTTAGATATAATTTCTTCCTTGGTAAGCTGCGAACCATAATTGACTTCTCTTTAGGTCGCGTTTTTGCAGCCAGTTGTAAAATGTAAATCCACAACAAATAAGAAAAAAAAACAGACACTCCCATTATGGAGCCAATCTCAATAGTTAGTACAGGTTCACAACTCCGGTCGGGTGTTGCAAGTGATACATATAACCAGTGATAATCCAAACTGCTTTAAGGTAATGCTCTTTAACGAAAGGAAGCGATCAAGGGTCGTTGCGTAGCTATCCATTAACTTAACACGTTATATATGTTTGACAACCTCATTCAGTCTTACTCATTCTCTGTAACCCATACAGTATTGCTATCTGCATAAGGTTTAAAACCATGCTGCCTCTAAATGATTTTAAAAATTGAATACTGTGAGAGGTAAGCGAGGACATTATCCCCAAAATGTGCTACTAACTCGGTTAATGCGTAGTTTCACATGACTAAATTAAGCCCATTAGAATAGGGAATAGAACTTTTTACTAGGTCTGACGCAGTGCTTTATTCAGTCACCTCTACATCGTACTAGTAAAATCCATCTAGTGCAATTATTGCTTTCACAGACATACGATGTTCGTCTTCCCAGTAGTGTAGTAGGAGTCGAGTGAAGTGAAGTAGGGTGCATTTTGCACTCAGCTCTGGGTGTCATACATAGAAGGTCGTTAAAGTAAAGGGGAGATGCATATGAAATGCGTTGAGCGCTACTTGCAGAAGAATGTTAAATAATTTTCAAATCGAACAAAGCTTTTCAAAAAACTCAATTTTTATTTTAATCGATTTCTAGGTTGAAATCTTTTGGAGTTAAAAATTTCTTCCTTATCCCCTTTTCTACTACAATATTCTAATTTAATGATTATTGTAATGTAAACGTGTTATAAATATATTAACATATGTTTTTCGGAGACACCAAAAAGCTGTAGTACCCGGGTATCAATTATGCTTGCCACACCACTGCCTGTATGCCGTCCTCCTTGAACTGTCGCTTTAAAGATTTCATAAGAACATGTTGATGCTTCATCATTTTGTGAAATAGTTTAAGTATTCCTGCACCTTACTTCTTAAATTTGTTTTTCTTTTAAAGAAAGTTTGAAGAATCTTCGTTTTAAGTTTTAATCCTCATGGGTTTCGACATCCCATAGTAGTTCCCTTATGTTAGTGTACTTCTTCCCTTCGTTTCACAGCAATCAGTAGTGTTATGTTGCAATCAACTCGTGCACTTGATCAGCTTAAGTTTATTTCGCTGAATACCTACTTACTCTTGTGCCTTATATTATTGGAAGGGGGCGTGGACAGGGAACAAATAAATTAAGCGTTGATTTGTTAATGCGTTCACAGTTCATATGAATTATCGGAATGGACGAGAGGAATGCGTAAGATCAATCGCTGATCAGTGATTGCATGTTCCACAAACTTCAGCTACAAGGAAGAAGATAATGACTTTGCACCGATGGAGTGAGAAGTATATTAATTCTAGAGGAAAAAAAAAATTGAAACATAAAATCGTTTTGATTTTAACATGAAAATCATTTTTTGTTTTTATTTTACAATTTTTTCAAATTACTTTTATGTAATAATTTCAAAGTCAATTTTTATAAAACATTAATGCGATATTAGTTTTTTTTTCTTCTTTAAAGTAAAACAATTTCATTATTTATGTTACACGTTTTGGCACTATCGTTGTTTAAAACTCATAAGTTAAATTGCAAACTTAATAACGAAGATTCTTCAGTATGGACTTCAACTTTAACTCAGAGTCGATAAATACTACAAAAAAGACTAAAAAAAATTAGAAGTTAGAAGTTTAATTAATTATAATTAGAATTGCATGAGATGTAAGTGTTTCATAACGACGTAATCAATATTAAAAATAATGTCCCAATTATTTCAGTCCCAAAGTAGACTGACGACCTTCCTCTGCATAACGCAGTTAAAAGTGTTTATTTATTATTGCATGCGAGATTTAAATATTGTGTGTGCAGAGAGATACTTGATATATATTATTTATTGCATGCTATAAAAAAGAACACATCAGAGTTTGAGAAATCTGCATTTCGTAATATTTTTGTGAATTATTTTTATTTATAATAAATCTTTGAAATTTATTTTTGATATCATTTACAAAATCGCAAAAATAAAGATACTATAGCTAAAATATAAAAAGGGAAATCAATTAAATAGGAAGACGCAATGGTTGGATAAGTTGAAATAATATATGAGAGACATTCTTATCAAGAGAATCGCTCTAAAAAGGGATATCAAGTGAATAGGAAGACACAATGCTTGGATAAGTTCAAATAATATATGAGTGATATTCTTATCGAGAGAATCGGTCTTAAGTTTCATTAATCATTTAAATAGTTGCTCTTACCAACACCGATCCATTTCGAATGTTAGCAGCGTTTTTATGGATATATCGTTTATAGAAAAACTTCATTTTTCTATGGTCGTAAACATTCTATTGAAAATTTAATTTGTGTGTCATTATATAAAACCTTAGATTAAAAATCCATCACCACTTAACCTTTACATAATTTTGAATATAAAAAAAAAATTAAAGCAATTATAAATTTAATAATATATATTCTTTTTGCCGCTTCAGGTGTTGCAATAACAACTTTGTCAATTTGAAATATTTTGAAATAACCAATCTTTTAATATTTTAAGCTAATCAGCAGTAACCAGTAATATTAGGCAATATGTACACATCACAGATAGTCAATATACTAATTAACTTAAGTTTTTGATTGAAAAGTAAACGTTTCATAACATCCAGACATTAGCGTGATTGCATATATTAACTCTAATGAGTTCAGACAAAACTAAATCTAAAATATAAAATTGATTTGAATTAACTTAAGAATCTTAAAAAGATTTTAAGAATCTTGGCTTTCAAATAAGAGCTTTATATATGATTAAAGTTGTCTTCAGTAACAAAATAGAACTTATTTCCTTAGTTGACGTTTATAGAAATATGTCATTCTTGGCTGCGTTCAGTCGTTCTATCCAGTCAGCTCAACCAGTGACTTGTGGCCGCTAGTAGGTGGTACCAAATACATTTATATACTCATATATTATGCTGAGGTTCATACAGCTTATCGATGTATCCAATTCGATACGCGTTACTAAGGCGCAAAGCCGCACAGATTTTTATGTGGTGCCATCTCATTACATTTAGTCCAAACTTTCGTGCTATACCGCAAAACAGGCATGATTAGAGATTTGTGGAGCGCTATTTTAATTTATCGAGAGTTTAATCTACTTAGCCCGAAGTATGCTGGATCCTTGGTAAACAGATTCATAAATTTGAATTTAAAGTAGTCAACAGTAACATGGGGCCATGTTATTGTTAAATCATTCGACGTTCCAGATAAAACTGTGAAGATGCGACATGGCCTTCATTATCTCTGTCAGGCTAATGAAAAAAGATATTGGAGTCGTTTCTCTGTATTCGTGGACTAAGACATAGATAAGATTAATGAATTCTTTCTCATCTTCATTGTAGCAACTCCCACACAGCTCACTTGTCGGAATAAGCCATCCTTGAATGCGCATTCGTACAAAGGTAGAGTGACCCACATGTTCTCCATTAAGTATTGGAACTGCAGAATTGTGAGAA